ACTTTACAAAGAGCCACCTGCAGGACCTCTGCTTTCTTCTTTCACAGAAAATTCAGCTCACCAGATAATCTGGCCCACCTAATTTAAAACATATTTAGCCTAAGACCAGGAAAATTATGTCAGCAAAGGTTCCTTAAAAATACTTCTTGATTAAAGAGCATAAAATATAAACTTTCTTACACTGCAGCTATATCAAGGAGTCTCTCCACTATTCAACCCCATCCTCAACCAAATATTACAGCTCTCAGCAGGAGTACTGGCTGGCCCATTCTGGCTTTGATGGGCACAAGATCAGACACATTGTGAGTCATTGTTCAGTAGCATTTTGGAAGTAATGAATTAGTGCTGCCTGCTTTGCACAGAGGTGGTCACAGAGGAAAAGGTGTGTGTTTAACCCTCTGGCAGTGACAGTGCACTGTAATATATGACCAACCATGCAGTTCACTTTTTACTAAGAAAATTATGCATTTAAGCTTTCAAGGGAAGCAGGCAAAAGAGAACAGCATAGGAGGGAGAGTCTAAGAATTAATTGTGAGGCATTAGGTAACATTTAAACAGCATATGAGATCTGTGCGAGTAGGGTTATATCCCAGCAGTGCTGTTCTTCTTCATTTCTTTTCCTGGGTGGTATGGAATTACACTGTCAAATCAAAGTCAAATTAGCTGTAGTATTTCACTTAACTACTGAAAGCTGCATTAACCGTTTCCCTCACCACAGTGGAGGTGTCAGCAGCAGTAGCTGCTGGAGGCCAAAGCTTTGCTGCAGTTGCCACCAGAATATTATTAACACAGAGCAAGGCCATTTCCATGAAAAGCGAGGTTGAGATTAATGTCTAAGGCTGGAGGATTTAGTAAGCTCTACTTGTAACAATGAGACATCCCTGGAGGAAAAGTGCCTGAGAAGAGCACACCAGAGAATTAGTGATTTATGAAAAAAACCCAAAAAAACCCAAAAAAAACCAAAACAAAAAAAAAACCCCAAACAAACAAAACCAAACAACCACCACCAACAAAAACACAACAAAAGAAAAAGAAAAAACAAGCAAAACAAAACAACCCAAAACACCACAAAAACAAGCAAACAAAACTTAGCCATGGCTCTCATCACCCTCTCGGCATGGCCCATGGCCACATGCCACTGCACTTTCCTGAAATGACCTTGGTTTGTACTCCTGACAATAGAGCCAAGTTTCCTGATCGGGTGCAGAGACACACATGGATCAACAGGAACTGTCGACTCTGCAGAAACGGGAAAAGGAAGACAGAAAAACAAACAGCTTCTCAGTTAACACAAGAGCTGTCAACACCAGTCTTGGGAAGACGAGAAGACAAACTCCAATGATGAAGCAGTATCAGAGATTTATTTAAGATCTTAGAGGAAGGTGCAGAAACAGCTTGAAAATGATTCAGCACAAATAACTGAGTTCTGAGAAAAAAAAATGTAGTTTCCTTTCTCTCCCACTCTTGCTTTCATTTCTGCAACATTTGATTTCCTTTCAGCAACCCTGCCACACAACTGTTGTTTATATGTGGTGAGAGTATGTCACATGCTGTCTTTTATGGACATGTTCCTGATAAAACCACATCACCCACACCAGTGAAGCTTGGGGCACATTATCTAAAGAAAATTTTCTCTTCTCAGCAATTGTGTAATTGTGTATTGCAATTGTGTAATTGCAATAACTTCGGATGATACTAAGCAGAAATAAACTGAGCAGCTGCTCCAGCTGGGCAGTGCTCCTTGGGCTGCTGCTTTGCTCCCTGCCATGGCTGTGCCCACCTGGTGACCTGTGGTCCTGCTTAGTGTGGCCACAGCAAGAAACAACTTTTGTGGCTGCTCTGGTAGAGCAGATTCCCAGGGGTCTGTGCTTCCCACAGATACACTTCTTTATTTAGCGGAATCGAAACAAGAAAACATCAGAGCTCGCCAGTGGCTTTTGAAACCACATTCTACTTTTCGCTCAGCCCTGTTGCACAATCCTATAATTAGCAGCGGCCCCAGCATATGCTGTTCCCGCCAAAATGGGCTGTGATTTACACATCAGTAACTCCCTCACACACCAGTAAAACCCTACGAGGATGTGGGCCAGATCTGGAACTTGAGGCAATTCCCCTCTAAACAGCAGTGGGTTTCCCTGCATTACACCACTGCACTCAGATACACGGCACTGACTGCAGCAGGAGGGAAACAAGCACTTGAGGTACTTGGGCTCACAGTTTGGTCTATTAAACATTTTGCACACTGAACCTTTATCACTACTTTAAAATAAAGAAAATAAATGAATGCTCTCAATTCAACTATCCCACTGGTTTGTGCCCAGCTGCCCTGGCAGGAAAGAATCTCTCCCACATACATCCAAAAGAAGGGCCCATCTCTTTGTGTGGCTGGAGGGGTATAGAGACAAGCTGCTCTTTAAGCTTATCTGCCTTCAGGGTGAGGAAGTGTTGCTGAGCAGGACAGCATTGAGGTTAATTTGGTTTTGGCTTCACTAGAGGAAGAGTAATTTAAATAATTTGCCCAAGGATTTGATCTGTCTCCAGATTCAAAAATAAGAACAAGCCGCAGGTCATACCTGACTCTGTCTAAACATGCAAAATGAATGTGCAAAGTCACACACACATGCCACCAGCACAAGGGACCAGTATGATCTCATGGCTTGAGTTTGTGGGTGCTTTGCCTGCACTGGGCAATGCTGAGCACTGAGTAGGGCAGGAGGGGTACGTGGGGTGCCCCTTAGTAAGGGCGCAGTTTCAGTAAGGCCCCAGCCCCTTGTGCTGCCATTCTAGAGAGATTTCCATGATTTGTGGAGTGGCTGTTGGACTGTGGCTGTGAGATCCAGCCCCAGGCATCGCATGCTGCAGACCACCACACCTCCTCCATGAGGGATGACGCGTCATGCAAGCATCCTCCTGACCTGTTTACCTGCCTTGCCATCTCCTAAAACCCAAAAAACTTGTTTTGAAGACACAGTTTCTTATGTAACAGGAATGATTGTCAAAGGCATTCAGCTCTGCCTGAACAGGGCTGAATTACTAACAGCAGTGTTCATACAGCTGAAGGGACCCCAAACACATCGGGTCAAGGAAATTAGCCCACATGCCATATAGGTTATATACCAGCTGAGACACAAAGGAAATAAATCCTCAAAAACATTAGAAACTTCTCTGTGGCCAACCTGAGCTGCTCTGACACCAGGTCACAATCTGGCAGGGTGCACTGTGTGGTGCTGACAGAACCCATTTACTGTTTTGAAAAGGGCCTTGCAAAAGCCTCATCCAGCTATAGCTTTCATTTAGACATCTCACCCTGAGAAATGTCCGTGAGCTCACACCACTGCCCCTCCCAGATGCCAGCCCTGCAGCACCACTGTGCCAGCTGCCTCCTGTCGGGCACCAAGGGGGCTGAGGTTTCCTACACAGGGAGAGAAATCAGCCGGGCTTCAAGTGTGCCATCATTCTGGGAAATAGCAGGCTGTCTGCACTGAGATGGTGAATGATTCCTTTTGTAATGGAACTTCAAAATCACCAGCATTTCTAGACACTTGACTTCAGGGGCTCCTATCCCATAGAATGGAGACTCTCAACATCCTGTTGTGGGTCTGTATTGCACTATGACATTTTAAGTTGTGTTTTGATGGGAGAGGTAGTAATTTACTGACTCTCAGCCACAAATCAGTTCTTTGTTATATCTGACCCATTTGTGCTTTCTTTACATCAAGCAGTTTTAATTTTCCCCTAAAAGCAGAAGTCCATGGCATGTGCCACAACATGAAATATCAACATTCTCAGAGATGGGAGGCAGATGAGTGACCCACGTAGCAGTGGCAGCTCTCCCAACATTGTGCAACAATCACAAAGACATGAGGGTGACTTTGTTCCAGCTCTTGCTTCTTGCAAAAAACACTATCTAAAATTACAGCAGGCACAGGTAAGTGTGGCATGTGTCAGCCAGAGCTATGCCATGCAGACACTGCAATGCCACAGGGAAGTTCCAGCTGGGGGGGGGGGGGGTGGCCCCAAGCTGCTGCAAGTGGTACATGAGTATGGGCTAGCTTGGGGGCTAGCTTTCCCCATGCTTGGTTTGAGGGCAAGGTCACCATCACTTTGAATAGAAAGAAGGTTTAGAGAATTGGGGTTGCTCAGCCTGCTAAAAAAGAGGCTCTGGGGATTCTTTATTGCAGCCTTCCAGTACCTGGAGGGGGCCTATAAGAAAAACTGGGACAGATATTTTAGAAGGGCCCTTTGCAATAGGACAAAGAGTAATGATTTAAGCTAGAGGTGGATTGATTAGATTAACTATAAGGAAGTTTTTCATTTGCATGGTGAACTACCAGCACAGGTTGCCCAGAGAGATGGTGAATGTTCCATCCTGGGAAACATCCAGGGTTAGGTTGAACGGGGCTTACAGCAACCTGATCTAGTTGAAGATCTTTCTGTCTTTGTGGCTACAGGCAGCAAAATACAGTGAGGCTGGTCTAGACAACCTTTAAGAAGTCCCTTCCAAATCAAACTATTCTATGCTTCTGTGATAATAACACACTCTATCTGTTTCTTCCGCGTGTCCAAGCACCCTCCATCCTTCCACCTCTTCTTCCTTGGTATCATCATTACAACCCTGTCTACCTTTCTAGGACCACCGTAAGCACAACCCACCCTCTCTCATCTCTCTTTGCCTAGAGCAAGGTCACCTCACCCTTCTGCCTCTTCTCACCCAAACGATGCAAACCCCACCGTTCATCTCCCCTGAGCCACCACAAAACCCCTCACACCTCCATCCCCTTTTCCCTCAGCACTCCGCATCCCTCCACCTCGTCTGCCCCGCGCACAGCCCATGTTCCCATCTCCTCCTGTCCCGCACAGCGCATCCCTCCAGCCCTTTCCGGGCCGGCAGCGTAGGCGGTGTCCCGGCCGCGGCCCCGCTCCGCCCGGGCACGCCACCGCCTGCCCGCGGAGCGCGGGGGGCGGGATCCCCGCGCCTTTTCGCTACGTCAGGACGGAGGGAAATCCCCGCTGAAGTCGCAGCCGCGCTTTTAGCACCGCGCTCCGCCTCCGTGCCGGCAGAACGCCGCTGCCACCGACCCGAGAGCAGCCTGAGCGCTCCGTGCCCCTCCGAACCGAGCCTGAGCTCTCCGTGTCCCGCCGAGCCTGGGCGCTCCGTGTCCCGCCGAATCGAGCCCGGGCGCCCCGTGCCGAGCCCCGCCGAGCCCCGGCGCTCCGTGCCCCGCCGAGCCCCGTCCCGCCGCCGCGATGCTGCCCGGCCGGACCCTGCGCAAAGCCGCGCCGCCAGCCGCACCTGCAGGTACCGCAGGGTGAAGGGAAAGAGCGGGGACGGGACGGGACGGCATGGCATGGGACAGGGACGGAACGGGACGGGACAGGGACACACCGTCCTGCACCCGGGCGCTGCTGCCCGGCTCCAGCACCGGGTGGGCGGCCAGCGCCCGGCGCGGCTGCGGGCGCCGTGCGGAGGCGAGAGGGACACAGCCGCTGCTCCCAGCGAGCGGGGGGCAGAGAGGGTGCGGGGTGGGGTGTGCTTCATGATGAGGAAACGGTGAAAAACTGGACAAAAAGTACCGTACTGTGGGGATCCCATTAAAGCGGCAGCCACGCGCGTTTCCGCAGGGCGCGAGGCGGCGGTGGAGTGCGCCCTGGAGCTGACCCGCATCGGCGACAGGTGGGACCTGCGGCAGAGGCTCCTGAACCTGCTGGCCAAGCTGTTCTGCCCCGGAACGTGGGCTGCCCGCGGACACGGCGAGCGAAGCGGAGGAGGACCTTGGCTTTGTGGGATTGGAAGAAGAGGCTCCACAGACATTGGGAGATGAAGAAACCTCAAATCTCGCTGCGTTGTATTTAGGTGACTGCAGCCGCTGGAGGATGGCTATCACATGTTTTCTCTGAAGAATGTTACAGCAATACTGGCGTATGAATGCAAGGTGGGGAAAAAAGATAACGATGGGCCAAGCCCCTAAACTGTGCAGTGGTGACTTGGGGCAAGCTGGTGACGTGGGGAGATTTGGGACAAGACTGAACTTGCCCTTCACAGTGGTCCGAGAACACTTTCAGGAACCCAGTTTCCCCAGTCACCCTCTGGTCCCAAGCAGTTCAGCGTGCCTACAGGATGAAGCAAAAAAAATCTGTCAGTCTGTTGGAACTTGGGATAACACGCCACACAGGAAAAGCCAGTTGCTGGACCTTTGACTGCTCCTCTTCTCTAAAGTGTGGATCCTGCTGGACAGGGATCTACTGGTGGTTATTAAAATTTGTTAAAGACAACCACTATCTTTATTGGAAGGTTATTTGTTACAGGATATTGTTTTTTGGACTAAAAGTTGTAATTCTATGAATTAACACAGTGTTGCATAGTTCTAGTCTATAGTAAAAATATATAGTATAAGTTTATATATATATATAGTATGTATACATAAAATATAAATGTGTGCACTGCTTGTGCATGTCATAAGTATTTAACTATTAATCAAAAGTTGTTTGTTTAATCTCAAAACAGTATGAAAATATATTCAAAACATGACAAAACTCAATATAAAAAGGTATTATATAAACAACAAAAAAGGATCATATTTTCTGATGATAAAGGAAATAAATCATGCTTCAGAGAGGGAAGCATACTTTGGCATTATATAAGATATGTATCTGAATAGAAATTACACAAACACAGATACATAGGTAATTGTGGAAGGATTCTTTCAATATTACAAAGAATTTCTTGATAACAGTACAATTCTGCTGTGTCTTTATAACTAACAAAATAACTTCAGTAGAAGTAGATCCTAAAGTTGAATCTCAAATTTTGCTGAGAATGTTATTTATTCAAAGAAAGCAACTACCTCTCTTTGAAGAAATAATAGAATTGAGCATTTCAGTGGTACAAGAAAGTAGCCTTGGATTTTTGAATGTTTAATTATACTTATGGACAAAGGTTCTTACCTTGTACTTTCTTTCCATTTCATTTCATGGCCTCATTTCAGTTCCAGAATGATGGAGCTGTGGCAGCACATCCAGTGGCTGGTTACATGGGGATGACCCATCTCACTGAGGGGATATTGCCTTTGGCTGGCTTCGGAGGAGCTGAATTAAACATATTGGTTGCTGTGAAGGCAAACAGTAAATTTGCCAGTCAATTCGTGTCAGGCTCCACCCTAAACAGTATTTTTCATGGGTCCAAGACAGCAAGAAAAAGGCTGATGCTGTTTCATAGCTACCTCTAAGGTCACTGGTGAGAGCTCCTTCTCTTAACTACTCTTGTATATAAGCACATTTGCATTTTTAAGGCTGTATAGTTACACTTTGTTATTTGTGTCTATTCAAATTATGTCTTCTTCTCTCTTGTGGTGAATTCTTTTTTGTATTTATAATTTATTTTTCTGTTACATCTTCTTAATCTGCCTTTGCAAAATTGTCATTATGTAACTCTGGTCACTCTCACAGCCTGTGCAGGGGTTGTTACGTATTGACACTGACTTCTGTCACTGAGCAGAAGCTGACTGACTTAGCCTTCTTTCCACATGGAAGACTTAACCCCATCCATCCCAGTGGTGTTACAGGGAGCACTGCTGTTGGCTTGAGCCACATGTATGGTTCCCTTCCCTTCTAAGCGAGCCAGTACCTTTTCAGGGAGAATACAATATTTCAAAAATAGCTGTTATTTATCTTATACTGCAAAGCAGTGCATTTTACTGACATGTACATAGGTCAGTTTTTCGGGTACTAAAAAATAAAGGCAAAGAGTTTCAGACCAGCAGAACATCAGCTCCCAGGTTAGCACTGCATCCAGCTGGGCAAAACTTCACCAAAGACATCTCCAGCTTGGTAAGAAGGGTTGCTGTTGTATATCCTGTGCTTGGTGGAGTCTTGGAATCTTCATCAAGGACACTGAACAATGACGATGCCTATCTGGAACTCTCAGAAGAACTCAGCATTAGCATTCACATTAGTAGCTGAAAAGTATGTGAATAAAACTGTTCTGTTCAATGAATGCTGCTTTCAAAGTCAACAGGAAACGGGGTGTGGATTTGTAGAACCCACCCTCTTCTTCAGGCTGTAGCACATATAAATATTACCAAAAAAAAGTATACTCATAAATGCAGTCATGGGGATATCCAAGTTTACTGTTAGCACAGTATTTGTCTGCCTAGTTATGCAAAGACTATTTGCTTTTTTTTTCAAATGTTTTAGGTTTTTCTGTGCATTGTTAAGAATGGCAGTGTTTAACAGGAGCTCAGGAAAAAGGCACAGATGCAAGAGGTCAGTGCCAGTATATGACCAAGTGCTTGCTGATGTCCACCCTAGATTTCTTTTTTTACTTCTGCAAAGGTTCTGCTTTATGACTTTATCAACATGAGTTTGTTTTCCTTAAGGCCTGTTCTGGATGCGTGCCAGATGTGTTGCTGTATGCCTCATGCATGTATGTCTTGAATACTTGCTAAGATAATAAATACAAAGTGTTTACGAGAAAAATGAGTCACAAAGTTTGCTATCACTCAGGTTTTCTTCTGTGGATTGTGAAAGCATGATTGTATTGTGCAAATTCCTTCCATGCTTCCATGTCAACAGGGCAGAAGCAGGAGGGCAAAAGCAGAGTGCCAGCAGGTATGCTTTGGTAGATTAGGCTTTGCCTTCGGCCTTTAAGAGGAAAAAAACACAACCATGACCTTGAACTTCAAAATGAGACACCTATTCCAACCCTTTTTGTTAACTACTGGCTGCAGAATATTTGGATGGTATTGGGGGCCCATTACTTCTACCAGAGTAGCTGCAGCTTTGTAAAGGAGTGTTCCTTGTAAAGGATAGACATCCAAGTTAAGGGTTTTGTCTAAGATGCAGGCAGAAAGGAATACAGCATTTTGTCAGGCAAAGTTTTACTTTCACCACATTTCGAAGCTGGAGTTTGGGAAGAGTGGGAAATGATGCTGCTTATCACAAGGGAATAGCAGGGGATAGTGCAGAGCACATTCTTCTTCCCTAAAGCTGGAACCCAAACATGTGTCCATGCAGAGGAGAGCCTGAGGTCCTCCCCTGCTATGCCAAGCACATCAGCAGGCTCCCTGCTCACTCACTGTGCTGCTTTTTCCCAGCTTCACAGGCAAGAAGCACCATCTCTGTAGCTCACATTCCCAGTGCAAGGAGGATTAAAAACTTCTGGGTCAAACAGACTTGTTTCTAATAACCAGAAAAAAGCCCCAAAGAAATGCAACTCCCTGTTCTTTCTCACCAGCAGAAGCCAGGAAAATTTTTACTTTGGAGGGCATCAGTCTAGTGAAAAGTGCCACTGTAGGTGCTGCACAGAGGTTTCACTAGCAAATCATACTTGTGTGACTCATCAGACTTGTGAAAGCATTCAGACACTCTCACCTGCTTCCCACTGGAATCTGGTCCCTCTCCAGCCCTCCAGAGCAGTGTCCAGTCACCTACACAGCATGATGCTTGTGACCTGCTCCTCCCTAAAGGGCAGAGGGAAAAAAAATCCTATCACTGGGGTATGGCATTGCAATCTAAATGCACTTGACTCACCCACAAGCATCTGATATCAAAAAAGCAAAACAAACCCACCTGGCGAAGCAAACTGACAAAGCTGCCACCCTGTAACACTCTCCATTTACCAAAGCACCTGGCTAGACAAGTGCAGCCCTGGGTCATGTTTGCACCGTGGTTCCCTACGTGAAAACCAGCCTGGCCCCCTCAGCCAGCTCATGCCTTCACACCTGAGACGGGATGCACAAGTGGTATTTCCCAAACAAAGTGACAGACAAGGAGATACTTCCTCTTCCCCTCATGAGATGTTTTTGCAAATCAGCTGAAAAACAATGTCTCATATGCTGCTCATTATTTTTAGTAGACACTGCTGGATGGGACTAAGTTGAATCACTTTCCTCCCATTAACACAAGAGGGTGTGAGGGGATGATGTGCATCCATGGAGGCGTAAGGAGGCCGGACAGAAAGAGTTGGGGATATAATGCATTGCCTTTCAGTCTGGCAGGGTTTCCCCTGAAGCAGGTGACTGTCTGATGGCAGCACTGTCAGTGAGCAATAGTCCCAAAATCTGTTACAGCTGTAAACAAGGGTCCTCACCCAAGTGCGTCAGGATGTTGTCTGGCCCGTGTAATAAACAGGCCACACCAAGGCTGCCCTGCCTTCTCACGCATGGGCTCTTTACAATGCAATTCTCACCAGCCCTCTGAAAGCATGGAGGTTTGTGTCACTCCTTCAGCAACAGGAGATATCCCATGAAACAGCAGTGGCCACAAATGAAACAGTTTCAGCCATTTCATCCTCAGCCATTTCATCTTTGGTGGCTTTGGTGTCATTCCCTCGAACCCATGAAAGGATGTTGGGAGCACCAAGAGGTTCAGAGGCTCAGCTCCTTCATGACATGGTCATCACTTGGAACCTTTTGGTAGTGGACAAGGCAGCTTGCAAATCTCAGGAAAAAAAAATTACTTTCAGCAGCACCCCCAAAAAAGGCCAATAATAGGATGCTGGCACTTGCTCCTGCAGCTTCTGGGTCCAAGCTGGGATTCCAGTCCTCTACTGCATGGCAGAAATTAAGGGCAGCATTCTGCTTCTACCTTCCCATTTCTGCTCCTGACAAGGATGTGACAAAGCTGCAACAAAGGCAGGAGGCCACAGTCATATCTGCCCTGCTTGGGATCAGGAATTAGGGAGGCAATTTTTGACACGAGCAGCTGGACACTGGACATTACCCAGCACCACCATAGCACATCAAGGAAATGGCTTTGGTATGTAGGGAAAAATCCAAGGAATTTCAGCACCAGGTAACTTGTTTGCTCAGTGCAACAGTATCAGACTGATTCAGCTGCACAGAGGGGTGAGGCCAGCACATATGCAACTATCAGTGGAAATGCAGGAAATTCTGCATTTAATATTGACTAACTTCAGAAAATACCCTGACTGACACAAAATATCCTTCTAGTCACAGCTTTACACTCCATGGGACAGAAGGGCAACTTCTTGTTTTAGGGAATGATGTTTATTGCATGAAATATTCTTTCATATCATCATTAAAAGTGAGGGGTTTTTAAAAGGAAATAAATTCTTCCAATCATTATTAATTTGTGAAGTATTTTAGCTGGGTCAAGTGCTTTAATAAACACAGCTACATGAAAGAGGAAGTAATGACTGGCTTTCCCTATAAACAGAGTCCAAAACAGGCTTTTACTAAAGGCTGATAGAGACAGTCTGGTTTCAGCCATGCTCCTGAGAAGAAGAAACACTTAATTTACCAGAAGTGGTGGGGAATCAGTCCTAGATAATGCAGATCATTCGCTCCCCAGGCATCTATTGGTATGAGGCTGGGCACAGGAAGAAGGGGCTACAAAAGCAGTTATGCAGTATTGCATAGAAAGGAAAAAAATCAAGTACCCAAATGCTGGATCAAAAATCTCCCAGCACCAGGCAAGAAGGCATGGGCCAGGGACTGGCAGCAGGGCAGACATGCCACCTGTGCAGCTATGGCTGGCTCTGTGCCTGACCTTGCATGGCCATGGGCACCACGAAGTGCAGCCCAGGGTCATGGTCTGGGAAGGTTTTACTTCTTTTTGTCATTGCAGTGATGTGCTGCCCTGTGGCATCACTCCTCTGTATTCATGGGTGTCATACCCAGCCACCACCTGCCCTGCTCCTGGCCAGCCAGATTCCAGGGTGGCATGTGGGAACCTTCTCCCCAAGGGCCCTCCTTCACAGCATCCCAGCTCGGGGACAGTGACCATTAGCATCTGGCCAAATGTGGTAAAGTGGCATTTTTGATACATTCCTGGAAATACAGATAAAGGAACAGACACACTAGAATCACAGACCCTATTCAGATTGCATTCAGTGATGCCAGCAGGGAACAGGAGAGCAGCAAAACTGTAAAACAATGAGAAATGAAATGGAACTTTTTAGGTAGAATCATGTTTCAAGTTCCTCATTTTCCCATGCCCTAAGGCTTTCATGACTGAGAGAAGTAAAAATTTTCTAGTACTTCACATGTCTTAGTGGATAAATGAAGTCACATGCACTAATCCATTTACAGGTAAATTCATTGTGTCTTCTTGCTTTTGTATTCCCCTTTACTTCGTTACTGACTGTGGCAATTCAGATTTCAATTAAAGATTTTAACGACTAATCTTACAAGAGCCAGGCTGCTTGGAGGGTTGAGCCCTGCTGAGCCCAGCTCAGGCCATGTGTTGGAGAAATCAGGACAGACAGGAAGATGGATAAGGGGGAGTCAGTGAAAGAGAGGAGAGGAGCTGGGCTGGCCCAGCACTGGTGGCAGCAGGGGCGAGCAGAAAGGCAGAGGAAATCATGACTGAAAATATCTTCTTCTTTTTCACCATGTGGCCCTGGGGGGAGAAGCCAGGCTCCAGCTGGGGACAGATGTGCTGAACCAAGCTTGAGGGGACTGCATATATCATCCTACAGCTTCCCATCCGTCTCCTTCCCAATATGCTGGTTTTATGCCTTGCACAGTTTCACTACACAACAGCACAGACTCGGCAGCATCCCTCATCACCATGGCTGTGTGCAAGGCAGAGGGATAGGGAAAAAAAGGGTCCCACGGCAAATGGAAAACTGGTATAGCACAAAGCTCCTCCTCTTCCCCTCCAGGCCAGGAAAGAGCCCACGTGCCCAGAGGGCAGGCTGGGAGCCAGCCACACTGGCCTTTCCCACAGGATGAGTCAGCAGAGGCTGTGGGCTTATCCCTCCTCACGAGGTGCTTGCTCGCTTGCACCCTTGCAGCGTGGCACCCGGGGAAGGAAACCGAAAGCAAAACCAGCGGCTTCTGGGGCACAAACCTGGGGAGGGGGGAAATGCCCTCTGCACCACTTGCATAGGAGGGCAAATGCCTTCCTTCTCCTCGCACAAAACCCCACCTGGCCCTTTCAGGCAGCACTGTGCACAGGACGAAATGGTGAGGCTTGCCAGGCCTGGCACAAGACGCAGGTGAGCGCCATGGGTACAGCAGGGAAAGGTCAGGACTGCCCTGTGCCATGTGGGAGTGCTGCTGCAAGTGCCCAACCCAGCAGGCAAACACACAGCAACGCACACCAGCCTGCAGTGCAGATATAAACACTCCGACTCACCAGGCCCTGCCTCCAGCTCAGCCCTCCCCACAGCCACCAGCTGATGTGTCAGTGTGCTGCCATGCTGGGCACCTCCAGCCTTCCACACATCAGAGCGGCCGAGAGGAGAACTTTCTGGGCTGGCTCATCTTTCCCTGAGGAAGGCTTGCTCTGGCCTGCTGTGCAGTGACTGTGAAGTGACTTGTGTCTAGAAGAGTGGCCCACTTGGTGCAAACCTCCCCAGTGTGGAGGCTGTGGTCTCCACCTCCCATGCTGAGCTCCACTTCAGCTCCGCTCCATCCACAGAGTGTCTCCAGCCCAGCCTGTTCCACCAGCTCACTGTGGCTTTGAAGGGAATTTTATCCTCAGAGTAGGTGGGAAACTAGAACAAATAC